CATAAGTAGTAATGCGGGCAATCTAATCTAAATGATGGGGGCTCGTAATCCTACGACCTCGTTCTTTCAATAAATAAATGCATACAGTCTATTGTTAGAATCCGATTATATCGTTCTACCATTGTTATGGAGTTAGGCATAATTGCAGTTCTAACGAAGTAAGGAAACTGTTGTCGTGACTCTAAAATGAAGTTTTGCTTTTATAACTTTGCCAAATATGTATATTTCATTAGGAATACAATACGCAACTAAGTACTAGCCTGGATGTACCATTGAATTGAAACCGTGTTTATGTTAATTCAAAGAGAGTTCTGAGTTATAATATTTTAAGTCGTTAATCATATGTCAAGCTGAGCTGTGGTATTGTCGTATTATGGTATTGTCGTCGTGTACGAGGTCGTCGTGGCCTAACGGATAAGACGTCCGATGCATTTGTGTTGAGCGATGCACCGGTGCTCGAATCTCAGTCGGGTACCATTTTTTCTAATGAAATACGTACTCAACAAATGTTCACGATTGACTTCCACGGTGAAGGAATAACATCGTGTAATAAAAATGAAACCCACAAAATTATAATTTGCGTAATTACTGGTGGTAGGACCTCTTGTGAGTCCGCGCGAGTGGGTACCACCACTCTGCCCATTTCTGAAGCAGTAATGCGTTTCGGTTTGAAGGGTGGGGCAGCCGTTGTAATTATACTTGAGACCTTAGAACTTATTCTCAAGATAGGTGGCGCATTCACGTTGTGGATGTCTATGGGCTCCAGTAACCACTTAACACCAGGTGGGCTGTGAGCTCGTCCACCCATCTAAATAATAAAAAAAAATATGTATAATGTTCCTATGAGTTTCGGAAACCACATTACATGATCTAGTCTATTTTCGTGATAAAGGCTTCGAGAGTGTCCATGAGCATGGGCAAGGTAAATTCGTGCCTCGTTAACTAATAGTAGAAGATTAAAAATACTACTCGTTGTAACAATAGTTTTTTTTCACGCAATTTGAATTTTTAAACTATTTATGTTTAGGTCCTGTCATTTTTTGACACATCTTGTGTTATTTTGCTTTCCCTAAAAGAATATTAATTTTACTAGCTCTGTTACTCCTTTTCCTATTTTCCGCTTAGACATAAATTGGAACTATAAAATGAATCTGCGATTATATTATCGTTCTCAAGGCTAAGGCTTATAAATGCTGCCTATAGAATTACCATGAAAAGGTTAAAATTATATTTTATAATATCAGTACCTACTCGGAACCGAGTGACACACAGTCCGGAAGATCACGTCCGCTTGGCATCGTCTCAATAAAGACCACTGTTTATTTATAGAACGATGTACATTTGCTTCATACTATTTTTGTAATACTGTCGCTTATACATCGTGTTATTTTATTTAATTGCGTAAATTATTTGACTTTTAAAATGGCTTACAAATTTAATGTCATTCATATTCCTTATTAGCCTTATTACGTGCTAACACGAACCCTAGCAAGAGCCGTGCTTCGCAGAATCTACCACCGGATCGGAAACGGGACCCACTGAGAAGATCCGGCGAGAAACTCAGTGGGCTGTGTCTGAGAGTTAATTTACTCGTCGAGCCCTTCGTCGCAAGCGACGGGTTCGACGAGAACGGTGACCGGTGCTTGAAGTACCTAGAAGCACCGTGAGTGGATCGGGAGGATCCGAGATGACGTGTTTTGGGCGACGTCGACTGCTTTCCATTCTTTCCGCAGGATCGGGAATGTAGTTACCGGCGGCCACGATGAGAGGGTTCTCGTGTCGTGCCGCTTTATAGAAGTGGTAGTTTAAGTGGTGCACGGTGCAATGCCACCGGTCATCGTTCTCGTCGAACCCGACGCTTGCGACGAAGGGCTCGACGTGTAAATTAACCCACAGACACAGCCCACTGAGTTTCTTGCCGGATCTTCTCAGTGGGTCGCGTTTTCGATCCGGTGGTAGATTCTACGAAGCACGGCTTTTGCTAGGGTTCGTGTTAGCAACAACGTGAAGTTTGAGCCCCGTGAGCTCACCTACAAGCTCGGCGAATCTAGAATAACCCCTCGAGGTTACTCGAATAGGTAGGAAAAAAAAAGTGCAACGCGTACTGTAAAGTAATTTGGAGATAATCATATTGAAGCTCGCAACAGTTATTTTAATTGTCATGATAATGAGCACGACTTAATAGTGAAAACTGTTTTACAGTGTATGCTTAAAAATGAAAAGACCTACGGATTTGTTGTATGATTTTTTACATACACCTTCAAATGGGTTTATCGTAAGACGGTTTTTAATCGATTGCAATATAAAGTAAATGTTCGATTTTCCACGGCACCCGAACGATATAATGTCGTGTCACATGACTCATGTGAGTTTTCTATGTCGTGTTAGATTAGACGCACGAGGTCATACTGTGTTGTGTTCTGCGGTCGAACGCAAGGGCACTGTAACATGCGAATTGGTTCAATCATAACAATATCTCGGGGATCCCGAAGGATAATTATTTTACGAGTAAACATAAATGTAAAAAAAGTATACTGCACAAATAGTGTTTTTTGTTTTTTGGAACGAAGTTCCTTATGGGACGATGCGGAGGGGTACCCTAACCGTACGTTACGTAAGATTTTTATTAGTAATGCATACACTGGTACGAAAATAACATTTTTTTTTAATCATTGTGAATAAAATAAAGTTGATAACTTTGTAAAGTAGTTTCTTTTTATCAATAAAAAAAATCATAATAAAAAATGTATACCCGAATAATTATTTTCTTTATACCTCGAATAGAACTTAAAATTAATATTTTTATAATAAGGATCTTCGTTCCTATCCGATGTCCCACGACACGTTAAATAAAAGATAATGATTATCGCGAGGCTCTTTTTTTCATCATAACAATATAAATATTTTTACGGCTTCAGTAATTATAATGCATTCTTTAATCGACTTCTTTCTCTTTTGAAATTTTAGACAAATAATTAATGAAACGCTTTCTGATTAAAATTTATTATTAATTATTCTTTTTACTGAATATAATATTTATAACAATTTTGGAAATAAGGTTTGGACGTAATTAGTATCTATGTAATATTGTTTGTGATAATAATATTAACATTATAATGGTATTATTTTAAAGAAGACATTGTATACACAGTTGCACGTATTTTGAAGCTGTACAGACTTTGTAAATTGCGTAACAAATTCGTAATTATTAGAACTACATAGCCGGTTGTTCGAAAGCCGTTTCAAAGAAAAATAAACTTTATGAACGTTGCAAACAAAGTTAGGTTTTCTTGCTAAAAGCGTAAAAATGTCGATCGTAATTTCAGAGAATAATTATGAATGAGATTTTAAAATTCTTGTAATATTTACATTGAGTTGGTATGCTTAGAAGTTTGAATCTCTATTTTTAATTAACTTTCGCTGACAGTCGAGCGAGCGGGTTTATTATTATGAAATTTACATTTAGAAACGGTATTCATAAGCAAATTAGATCCAGTTTACGTTACTCAACACTAAGAGCCTCTAACACTAGGGGCAGGCTTAGGGACCCCGGTAACCGTACTCGTCGAACCTAAACATCTGCCCTTTTTTATTGCTTAGATGGGTGGACAAACTCACAGCCCACCTGGTGTTAAGTGGTTACTGGAGCCCATAGACATCTACAACGTAAATGTGCCACCCACCTTGAGATATAAAGTTCTAAGGTCTCAAGTATAGTTACAACGGCTGCCCCGCCCTTCAACTCGAAACGCATTACTGCTTCACGGCAGAAATAGGCAGGGTGGTGGTACCCATGCGGACTCCCAAGAGGTCCTACCAGTAAAAAACCTCGTGAGTTTCTCGCTGGATCTTTTCATCGGGTTCCGATCCGGTAGTAGATTCATTTGCGAAGCATCTGCCCTTGAGCTGTTAGGTCTCCTTCGGAGGCGTTCGGGCAGCTGTTAGCAAATCCCACCCCTCCTGGCTGAGCCTTTGCTCGTCCACCTGTCCTGGTGAAACTGGAGAGGCCTCCGGGGACAACCAGTAATAAAAAAATATAGTTCGCGTTACAAGGTGACCGATCATGTGGGAATATGATCAACAAATTTTATTTGGGACACGTGACTGATTTGCGGCGTAGAGAGGACGGTCGTATCCATCCGTGTGGGCTCGCAATGCAACTGCAATTTATATAGTACATATAGACTTCGTACCTAAGTTAACCAAAAACCCTAAATGAGTGTGATCACGATTGCTTTTAGTTGGGTACCTAAAACCTTACCTTACCTTAATGATAACGTCTCGGTTAGAGCTAAGGCATAAGCTATTTAAACTGTTATGCAGATTCGTTATAGCAAAATGTACTTAAATCATCGCCGAATAGAAGGGACCCTGCAAAAACCACGCGTTAGTGTTTCGTTCATGAAGCCCTCGTCGTTCTTCGGTATACCGATGGTCCTAATATTGTAGAGAACTTTTATAAATATTCCTGGGAATTTTTCGAAATATTGGTTATGCTATTTAGATTTTTGCAGGGCGTCTTCTATTCTCAGCCAGATGTCTAACCTCTCATAGAATACTTATAACACTTCAAAGCGATTTCTGCATTGGTGAGGACCTAAAACAAAGCATCTATATTTTATACGTGAAGCAAAAACTTTGTACCCATTTTTACGAAAAATTGTGCGAACGGAGTAGTATGAAATTTTCCACACCTATAGAGAATATAGAGAAGGAGTGCAGAATGTTAATATTTTTTTTAAATTATGCATTATTAATAGTATACTCTTTGTTTATTGTCAAACTTTTGTTATTGCTTGAAGTCTGTGGTCAAATTCAGAATAGATTAATATAATTGTCTACAGCCTTAGCGAAATCTGTGAATAAAGAAGTCTATTATTAGTCTTTGACAATAGAACCTTAATAATGTTTAAAATTATGATTTCAATTATAGTCGAATTTCGACTACTGCGGGACCAAAAGTAATTCTAATTTTTTTTAAATATTTTCCAAATTAACAGATGAACGTCCGCGTGACGACGATGGACGCGGAACTCGAGTTCGCGATCCAGCAGACGACCACCGGGAAGCAACTCTTCGATCAAGTTGTGAAGACGATCGGCCTCCGCGAGGTGTGGTTCTTCGGTCTTCAGTACACCGACTCCAAGGGCGACCTCACTTGGATCAAGTTGTACAAGAAGGTTAGTGCTAATTTATGTTTTCTTTTTCCTACCTAAGCTGATAGCCTTGAGAGGCTATTTCAGCGTTACCTCAACTAGTAGGTGAGCTCACGGAGCTCAAATTGGAGTGATGCTAACACTGGCCCTAGCAAGAGCAGTGCTTGGCAGAATCTACCACAGGATCGGAAACGCGATCCACTGAGAAGATCCGGCGAGAAACTCAGCGGGCTCATTCATGTTGAAATACTATGAACATATAGTGAACAAAACGAGAAATAAGTCACGCAAGGATTGCCGCTCTTTAAGGAGCGCTCAAAGATTCGATTACAGTTAAGATTTCGATATTCTTCAAGAACATATTTAATTAAATATATTTTTGTAACATTTTTGTTTTTAATGAAATGTATATTTAAATCAGACCATTAAATATCCTATAATATTTCGAAAATTAGTCTACCAAAGATGTGTAGTAAAAATAGCGCATTTTAAACATTAATATAAACGAATGTCAAACATAACATACTGCCCGACAGTTAATTAGACATTAACTTTACTTAGACATAAGCTTTGTTATATTTGTATCGGTAGATTTTATTGGTTCTTTTCGATTCGATGGTTAACCCTCTGATTAGCCTTGAACGATAGATTTTTACTAAGTCTTATCTTATAAAATAGTTTCGTGTTCGAAAGTAGTCTTCGTGGTGAGTTTTGTCAATAAACTATACAAAGCTTTTTTTTTCTCAAACATAAGCAGCTACCTACGTTATATCATATTAGATTCGCATAATAAACATGAGTAGATTTGTGCATTAAATCGAATAATTCTCTGAAGCTGTGTGGAAACGACCTTGTTCTTCTTCGAGAGTATGATTCGATATTTCGCATTCGTTCTATTTACATATATTAAAGATAGAATAGGTGTAATATTATCGTTGTCAAACTAATGGGTACACAACACTTCGACAGGTTTTACACAACGAAATCTCGATCGATCACTAGAGAGGTGTCACAATTCATAGTCACGGATCTGTTGATTTCAAACTCATTGCTGTTTGAAAATAACCATTATTCAAATGCATGTGGGACTACTGAATCACGTGACGCGCAATTCACATTGTGGTGTTTATGGAAGTCCATCCATAAGTATAAGTATACTTAACACTCATCTATGTCAATAACTCCACTGGTGGTAGGACCTCTTGTGATTTGGCGTGGGTGGGTACCACCACCCTGCCTATTTCTGCCGTGAAGCAGTAATGCGTTTCGGTTTGAAGGGCGGGGCAGCCGTTGTGACTATACTGGGACCTTAGAACTTGTATCTCAAGATGGGTGGCGCATTTACGTTGTAGATGTCTATGGGCTCCGGTACCACTTAACATCAGGTGGGCTGTGAGCTCGTCCACACAACTAAGCAATAAAAAAAAAACTGATTACAAAATTATAAATATGTCGCTACCCAAATTGCAGCTAACCTTTGTCTGCAGCCCGCTATAACCCAAAGCCACTGGCTGTATTTACATAAAGCCAATTTTACAAGTTCAAGTGCTTCCCTAACAGCTGTACAAGTATGCTTTAATGTCATTGTTTTGGATAGTACAACGGCTATTATTTAATTTTATTGAGTCTTTTACGTCATGTCTCTGACGCCCACTTAGTTTCACGCCGGATCTTCTCAGTGGGTCACGATTTCGATCCGGTGGTAGATTCAGCGAAGCACTGCTCTTGCTAGAGCTAGTGTTAGCAATTCTGTCAGGTTGAGCCCGTGAGCTCAGTGCGAGGTTAGAATAGCAATACCAATGATTATGTAGGGCGAAAAAAAAGGCTGACGGAAGGCAGACAGGGACAATCACGTTTTGACATCCATAGCCGTGCTTCTCAAAAGTGGCACCAGCTCGTTATCAGGTCACAACTATAAATGTTAATAAACACTAATAAAATCTAAAATAAAAATAAAAACTTTTTAATTTCTTTTTTCTTTATGGCAATAGTTTTAACTTTATGCCAGTTTCAAGTAAAAACTTTTTAATTTTAAATTATATCGGTTTATATAGTGCGATCAAATGCGGGGTTCCGTTCTGAATTGAAAACAATACCGATAAATTCGTAAATTTCCTCAATTCGACATTGACCCGCTAAAGCAAGGAGAAACGACACAAAACGAAATAAAATGACACGTTAACATGCTTTATATGTGGAGGACGTTCAGTTTTTTATTTTATTTTAATTAAAATTAAATTGAATTAAACATATCATACATAATCAGAAAGGAGATAAGCGACAATAGTTATTGAAATACAATATATAATTTTTTTATTCTTTAACTGGAAGTTTCTAGATGAGGATCGAAATTTTAATAAATAATTATTGAACGGGAATTGCGATGTTAAATTTGAACTCAATTTCATATTTCGACTCTCGCGTCTTAATGGTGATAAAAATGCGCAAGTTTCACATCCCTCATTCATTTTCCGTGACCTTTGGAATACGAATTGGAATTTTAATCGATTTCATTTATCAATAAAACTATGAAACACATCCTTAGATAAGATTAAACTGATTATCTGTAATATGGTATCACTCAATAATTTATTAGTGAATTTTACTACGTTAAAATTTCATAGGCTATAAAATATTGTATTTATGAATTTATATTATGTAATCGTTTTTATGACCCAGCAGAATTATGTGCGAGTGGTTGCAGATTCAAAATATTAAATACGTACTTACATTTTACTGGCAGAATGTTGAAGGTAGATTAGTCATTAGGTTTTTTTTTATTGCTTAGGTAGGTGAATGAGCTCATAGACATCTACAATATAAATGCTGCCATATTTACCTTGTGATATAAGTTATAAGGTCTCAGTATAGTTACAACGGCTGCCCCACCCTTCAAACCGAAATGCATTGCTGCTTCACGGCAAAAATAGGCAGGGTAGTGGTAGGTACTTACTTACCCGTGCAGACTCACAAGACGTCTTACCACCAGTAAAAAGTTGATTTATCTGAAACTATAGTGTGTTGGTATGCAGGTTGGCAAAAAAGGCATGCAGACCATTAGGGTTAGATTCTCTGTTGGAGAAAGTATATTTGTGAAAAATTCCTGTTCTTGTTTCTCAAAAGTCTCCGGAACCAACCACAAATAAAGAATATTTACCTTGGTTATCATTATTATCTAAATCTGCATCTCCATCTCTTTGCATCTTCAGGTTGTTGCAACAAATGACGGTTACAGTAACCGCTTGGCTTCAAGCGGTCTTATTCCCAATAAAAACCTGTATAATACTTTTAGATAAATGTAAAAGCATATTATGAGTTTTAAAAGGTCCACTTTGGACAACCAGAAAATTATTCGGGAAATTATTAATCCATCATTATAACATAACAGAGACTGGCATTAGAAAAATTCGAATTTGAACATAAAAACGTATTGTTTTTCGATTACGATTCGCAGATAGCGGCTCGGTCTTTTTATCTCTCATTTTTCGAGTCAGATTATTTGATACGTTGCTCAATAAGTTTTATCATCGTAAAGAAATATGTTTGTAATTGTAGATTTGATGTCATAATTCACCTGGGTGGCGATATTTTAGAACGGAGAATGAAAGATGTGTCCCTAGAAGCGTGCTAAATAAGAATGGAAAACCAAAGGCTTCGTGGACTCTGTTAAGATTGAGATATGTTTAAAAGTTTTTAGAATACTGATATAATCGCTAATAATAGGCTAGGGGTTAAAAATATTGTTACGCGCTGGAGGTCGGGATAAATAAAATTCCACCGAAGTACAATTAAAAAACTGTTTTCACTCAACACTTAAAACACTCAACACTTTTAAACTCTCAATTCGCTTCAGGTGATCCGTTCGCTGTTTCGCTTCGAGTAATTCCGATTACTGACTGCCTGCGTGCCATCTCTACAACGCTTTTGTAGCCGATACCACATCCCTAGAATTATCGGGAATATTCCACACACCTTTAGTTTTGGTTTTGTCGCTATCTGACAATAGATGGCGTTGTACTTCTCAAGCGTTCTAGGTGCTACTAGATCCTTATATATTTTCTCGACTATTCGGCGATAGATGGCGTCACTCTTACCGGCGTAACAATATGTTCACGTATTAATATAATCACCATCAGTGTAATAAGGGCAGGACGTGGAAAAAAGGAGGTTGAAGAGTTGAGCTAGTTTCTAATCACGGTAACGAATAATGAAATGTTTGAAAATCGTTAATGCAGCGCGGGCAGAAATATTATTTTGATATAGTAAGTATTAATACGTAACGTTTTGGTTATTTAAATATTTTCATTTGATTAAGCCTTTTCTCAATAGATAAATGTACATGTACAAATAATCTGTGTTATGTCTGTTACTATCAATTGCCATCACATGTAATAATAAGGTGTATATAGTGATGATGTATTGCCGTATCGCGTTTTTACTATCGAATCGGCGATAATCGCGTTATCTTATACCGATTCTAGCAATATTATTAACGTCATTCAGCTTAGTCCGGTTACACGTCCTTACGGATCCATCAGATCCAATAACTCTTGCATTAAATCCTTCTTAGTAGATACCTTCAGCTCTAACACTAGGAGCAGGCTTAGGGATCCCAGTAACCGTACTCGTCGAACTCGGCAAAGGGTTCGACGTGCAACCTAACCCATGCATCAGCCCGCTGAGTTTCTCGCCGGATCTTCTCAGCGGGTCGCGATTCCGATCCGGTAGTAGATTCATTCTCGACGCAGCTACTCTTGAGTTGTTAGGTCTTCTTCGGAGACACTCGGGCAGCTGTTGGGGTATCCCAACCCTCCTGACTGAACATTTGCTCGCCCACCTGGTGAAACTGGAAAGACCTCCGGGCTACCAGTAATACTTCAATCATAAAAAATAAGCTTAGTCCGGAATTAGGAATGACACGATTTTGTCAACGTCATGGAATTAAACTCAATAATTAAGTGAAGTTTACTATCACCCTCGTGCGGGACATGGCTGTCGGAATATTTAAAAATGAATTTAATAAA